CATACTTCCTTCAAAAGAACCTTTAATGCTTTCTGCAGCTGCAACTGGGCGGGCCAGGGGTCCGGAAACAGTGCTCACCCCTGACCCAGAGCAGCCTCAGCTTCCTGGGTGGGGATCTCTGGGTAAAAGGCCAAGAGGCTGATCCTTGGTGGAGGAATGTCAGAGACACTAGAAACCCATGGACCCCAAAAAGAGTAGAGGCCTGAGAGGGAATGGAGTGTGGCCAGGAGACCTACTGAGCAGTCTTCAAAGCCCTCAGCTTTTCTGTACACACAGGAAGGGCTGGGGTGGTTATCCCCACCCCTTACCAACAAGGGAGTGAATTAGAGTATAGAGAGAAATGCCAGTTAAGACTTCAAGGAGCCCTGGAGGGTCTAAACCAGTTCAGTGGATACCTGGGAATGCCACTCTAAAACATAAATGCCATCCCTATGGCCAAAGTCAAGGGTAGCCTGTTTGGAAGGAGGCAGGCCAGGCCCTCACCAGGCCTGGGAGGTTCTAACGTAGGCAGTGGCTGGCTGTCTGAAGGGTGGGAAGGGATCCCAGAGGGACTTGGGATGGCAACTTCCTCAGAGTCCTACATAAACACATAACTGCTCCAGCTCCCTGGGGGAGACAAGCCTGAGGTCCCCTCAACTCCAGGCCAGCCTCCTAACTGCAGATAGAGGCAAAGTCAGGGGAGGCAAACACTACCCTGATATTAGCAGCCCCTAAAGGAAGCCCGTGGGATCCTGACCTACACTCTCTATCGAGAGGCAGGCTCCGGGATGAATGACACCCACTAACAACGCTTACCTTTGGCTTTTTTGTTTTTGAGACAGGCTTTTGTGTATCCCCAGCTAACCCTGAACTTACTTTACAGTCATAGATGATCTTGAACCCCTGATCCGTAGCCTCTACCTCCTCGGTGTTGGTATCACAGGTATCTACCACCATGCCCAATTTACACAGTGCTGGGGAAAGAACCCAGAGTTTTGTGTGTGCCCTGCAAGCACGCTGCCAGCTGATCCATACCCCATACATCAAAGCACTTTAAATCAACGAATTCATTTAACCTTTGTGTTCATGCCATACTGTCCCATTTTAGAGAGGAAACTGAGAACACAGTAGATAGGAACAGCTGCCATAGATAGGTCTCCAGCAGTCTGGCTCCGGCCTCATGCCCTCCCTCTGTCTTGCTTTATACTTTGGAGGAAAAGCAGCATTGTAGGCTTATAGTTCTTCAGCAGGCCTGTCCCAAACCTCAGTCCTCCAGCCTCATTTGGCACCAAAAGCCTCCCATTGAACAGCCAGGGAGCACCAGTGCAGCCAGAAGACAAGCAGACTGATGATAGCGAAGAACATTTGCAGCTGATGAGGCCCACATTCACTCCAAGAGAAGGCTGGGAAGGTCCCTGGAGAAGCTCCCAATGGCAGAGAGTGGTGAGCTCACCGACGCCCTCCTGTGGCCCTCATCTGGTCGGATCCCTGCATCCACCCTTCTGCACCAGTCCCTGGCTGCCTGGTGCTCTAGCCTGAGCTGGAGCTCAAAGCCCTAAAAAGGCAGGGAACACACAGCCTAGCAAGCCCTGCAGGAGGAAGGCTGGGGACTCACCCTGTCCCTTCTCATCACTGTTCCAACTCCTCCAGGGAAACCAAGGTGAGGACAAGAAGGGAGATGGCCAAGAGCCACAGCCTAAGCAGAGAACCAGCCACCCTAGAGCCTCCAGCTGCCAGCACAGGGCGTCCATTGAGGCAGCACAGGCTATGTATGAGGCAGGCATCCCTGCCACCCCCACCATTCCTTTCCCAGCTGGCTTATGCCCACACCTCTACATGCCTAATAGCTCTGGAAAGCTAAAAGCCAGCCAACCAGGGAGCCATGAAGCCAGAGGCCTCAGGGGATAATGCTGGGGACAAAGTAAAGGCCTGTCCCTCCCCAGTGTCTAAAAACAACCTTCTCCCTCCCCCATGCTCATGCTCCTTTCTGATTTGTTTGTTTGTTGTTGTTGGGGGGCAGGGCCTGGCTGTCATCTGGTACATCTCAATCCTCCATCCCAAAACCTCAGTTTCCCTTCCTAGGGTCAAGGAAACTTAAGTGAGAGACAACAATGGACCCGCAGCTCAGTGTATGGCTCCACTCAGCCCTCACATTCCTCCCTGCTTCCCCATCACTGAGTCCCTCCTGGCTGTAAACAAGGGATATAAGTTAGATAATGAGAAGAAGGAAGCCAGAAGGGTGAGAAGTACTGCCATGATTAGAGGCAAGCTGGCTGCGTCCAGAACCTCAGGAGCAAAGGGGCCACGGACATCCACAGAATTGGCTGTGGGGAGAGGCAAGCTGGGTTAGGCAGGCTGAGCCAGAAAGGATGGAGCCCAAGGAGAGTCCTAAACCCCAGGGGAGGCCATCAGGATGCCCCACCCCCAGCACTGAGTTTGGAGAAGTGTCAACCCCCACTGCTCCTCCTTCCCAGGAAAAACAGGTTTGAGGAGGCCACAGGAGGTCACCTATTCCTCTCCTTACCCCTCCAGAGAGCACAACAAATGCCCTTGGCTTGTTCCCTACCTCCAACATACCCCCAACACACTGGCTATTACACAAGCCACTTGGTGAAGCCTTGACAACCCTAAAGTATTTGTAAAGGGGGAAACTGAGGCCTCCCCTGGCTTCTGAATCTCAGATTCTGGCATCTCTGCTCACAATCTCCAACAGTGAAGAAGGCTACTCTAGCTACAGGGCAGAGTTTCAGAATGCCCAACATGGAAACCACCCCATGGTTTCCTCAGACACTAAAGACCTGTGGCACATGCCATCCCTTCCCCTTTATCCAGTGTCATAGGGCCGCAGGATCCATCCAGCCTTCCAGGAGTTAACCACAGGGCCAAGCAGAGTGGCCAAGAGGAAGCACTTCACAACAGCAGCACAGGAAGCAGCTGGGGTAGACCTGGTGGCCAGTCAGCTATGGGTGCCAGGGAGAGGCACATGCAAGCACTCTCTATTCCCCAGTGCAGGCAGGGAGGGTGAGTCCCCACCCACGCCCCAAGCCTGAAGCCACAGTCTTGACCCCCCATTCCAAGCCCCTATTCCAGAGCCAGAGAATTCCCCAACTCTAAGACTCCCAGGACCTCAGCATCCCCAGAGACCTTAAAGGTCATCTTTCTCACCACATCTCAGCGCAGGAATCCTTCCACAGTGTCCAGCTTGTCCAAACTGTCCCTTGGGACAGGTCACTCATTACCTTACACCAAAGCCCTCTCTCTCTCTCTCTCTCTCTCTCTCTCTCTCTCTCTCTCTCTCTCACCAGCAAGAACTCCCAGAAGCCCCTGATCAAACCCTCATTCTTCCAAGTCAAATCTCCATCATCCCCGATCCTCCCTTGCTCCCTGAATGCAGTCTAGCAATGCTGGTGCTCCAAGAACAGCAGCCTCTCAGCCCACTAGGCTTTTAGGTCTCCCAGGTACCTCCTCTCAGTCCACTCCTCCTGGGCTCTAAGGGAGATAAGTTAAGAAGTATGGGGTGAAGGCTAGGAAAAGAGAGCTAGAGGTTCAAGGCCGGGACTAGGGAAGTCTGAAAGGTCCCTAGGCTATCTCCTATACTACCCAAGAATCCTCAGATTAAAGTCCTCCCCAACTCCTCACCACTCACCTACCCTCCCCAACCTCTCTTCTCAACTTCTCCATTGACCATTTTGGGAACCCAGTGTTGGTGCCATGGAGGGCTCTCCCATCCTGCTTTGGGCCACATGGGTTGTGACTAAAGATCCTTGGGCTGCAGTAAGCTTTGAGACTTGGGGAAGAGCTGGGGTCTAGAAGACAAGGGCTGCCGCCAGCTGGCAAGGGCAGGAGGCACTGGAGGCCAAGTCTGAGCCACAATGGTCCCCACCCCACCTCCAGGCAGCCTCAGGAAGGGGAAAGAGCCCTCCCTCCCACCCCACCTCTGCTAGGCCACACTGAAGGGCTTCCAAGAGAGAAGCCCCTGTCCCCAAACATTAGAACCCTACTTTCCAGCTGTCCCTCCTGTTCCCACCACAACTGCCTTCCTGACTTCATGATTCTGGAAACTTCTCCAGCCAATACCTATCCTGTCCCCTAACCTATCCCACACCCCTGCTGAGAGCCCAACCCAAGAGCCCAGCAGGCTTCTCTGCCTGACCCCCAACACCACTGTCAGTTTCCTGTACTAGGACACGGAATAGCCTAAAAACATCTGGGCTGGCAATACTGGCCCTGGTTGAGGTTAGATCTGGGAGGCTTCTCCAAGCCTTGTAAGGGGTAGCAGGCAGGGGACCAGTGTAGGGGGACCCTGTGTGTTCATTAACCACCTGGATTAGACATTTCTGCCCAGAGGGGTAAGGTAGGAATGAGCCTACTGGCTGGGGGAGGGGCAAGGGACACACATGCCAGGCTGTGCCCATTGAAAGGGGGAATGGGGTCCATATAGATGGGAGAAAAATGATGTTCGAGCTTTTGACTTTAACCCCCTGCAGCCAGCCCCTCCCTGGCAGTATCACACAGATCTTCGGGGCAGAGAGAGTGCCCCCAAAGAGAGAAAGGTATCCCAAAGAAGTTCCTGCCACTGGCAGGGAAGACTCATGCCTTCCCACAGTCTTCCACCTCCTGGACCCTGCAATGGGCAACAAGTGAGCAGAAGAGACCCTCTCCTCTATCTCTTTGCCTCCGGTAGTCTGCAGTCCCTCCCTGCTCCCAGTTGTATAAAGCCTTGCTAATACCAGCAACTTAGCAGAACACAAAACTCTTCCTGGAGCTGGCTCAGCGCTTGTAGGGGCAGCCGCGCCCCAGACATCCCTGGCCGACTTCGGGAACATCTGACAGCAGCAGGGCTGACAAGTTGGCTCCCGAGGGGCTAGCTTAGTCTGGAAGTGTAGCAGGCAGGAGAGGGACTGACCTTACCTTCCCCAAGTTCAGGATCTGAGGCTGGCCAGACATCAGTGCATGCCTACCGCTGGGCTGTATCTCTGCACCCTTGCACATTCACACACTCCCAGACCGCACCCACTCACCTTTCCAAAAGAGGAGCCACTGGGTGGCAGGCCAGGGCGGTGGGCAGTGGCAGGGCCAGCGGCTGGGCTGGCAGGAAGCTGGTGGAGAAGCGGTGAGTGAGCTGGCCCAACAGGGCAGAGGTAGCCGAGCCAGGTCCCAAGGCCGCGGCTAGGAGCGAGTGAGCGCGCCCAGGGCGCTGCCGGCTCCCTCCAGGGCGGGCGGCCTGGGGCACCGCCTCCTTCCCGGAGTCAGCGCGTCGCCCCCCACCGCCGCCTCCTTTAACCCCTGCTACGCTCGGCTGCACAAACTGTGCTCCACCAGGCCCATACCACTGTGCACCTGGGCAGGCTAGCTGTCCAGCAGCTTCCTGGGGGACAGGCCGGGGGCTTGGGGGACAAGGGTGGGAAGGGACAGGTAAGAATCAAGAGGTTGAGGAGCCCATAGGAAAGATACAGCTGTGAAGCCATTGCCACAAAGTTGCAGGGGGTGGTGGTGGTGGTGGTGGTGGTGGTGGTGGTGGTGGTGGTGGTGGTGGTGGTGATATATAGAAAAACAAGCTGCAATTCCAACACACTTGGGTACCAATTCCAACCATCTCCCTTGTGAACTTTTTCCTTGGCTGTCAAATGTGATGTGATAATCCCTGCTTTTTTCCCCCTCCAGGAGTGAGTTAGGACATATGTGATCCTATATTCAAAAGTCATTGGAGTAGGGTTCCGGTTCATAAAAAGCATGCTTCCAGGCTGGAGAGATGGCTCAGCGGTTAAGAGTACTAACTGTCCTTCCAGAGGTTCTGAGTTCAATTCCCCAGCAACCATATGGTGGCTCACAACCATCTGTAATGGGATCTGATGCACTCTTCTGGTGTGTATCTGAAAACAGCTACAGTATATTTGTATAAATAAAAATGAATAAATCTTTAAAAAAAAAAAGAAAGCATGCTTCTTTAAAATGCATCCAAAAAAAAAAATAGGATGATGGACATGTCATACAATCATACCTGTGTTGTTTTCAACATCCCCTGTGGACACCAAACCTGTGGTTAATCAGATCCCTTAAGTGAAAAAAAAAACAGTGTTTGCACAAAATTTGTGCACAGGATCCTGCGTGATTGATCGACAGATAAGATCTCAGCCGGGCTGGAGTAGCCGTGTAACCAAGTATGATCTTGTTTTTCAAATCCTTGCCTCCACCTTTCAAGCGCTGGAATTACAAGCATGGGCCACCGTGCTTGGTTTTACATGGTGCTGGGGATTGAACCCATGACCTCCTGCATGCTAGGCAAGCTCTGCTCCACCTGAGCCACATCCATCTGCTTTGGATCCCCTGTAGAATACTTGTAAAACCTCGGACTGTATAAACACTCTCTGTAATGAGCAGTTGTGCTGAGCTGTTAAGGAAGAATGGCAGTAGCCAGGCAGTGGTGGTGCACGCTTTTAATCCCAGCACTTGGGAGGCAGAGGCAAGTCTGAGTTCGAGACCAGCCTACAGACCTGGTCTACAGAGCGAGTTCCAGGACAACCAGGGCTACACAGAGAAACTCTTGGGGGGGGGGGGGGGAAGGAAGAATAGCAGTGATATGAAGTCTGTACTTGTTCGGGACAGTGACAAGTTTCTTTCCAAATATTTTCAATCAGCAGCTATGGACTCTGTGGAGAAGAACCCACCAGTTTAGAGGGCTAATTATGTAGCAAACTGCTGAATCTCAAGAACCCACCAATCAGTACAACATTCTGTACCTATGAAATGTGTTTATACTAAAAATAATGAAGGAAAAGGCACTTGAAAAGTTTGGATCACCATGTATATGACAGAAGCAGACAGAAGGCTCCTGAAAATGCTAGAGTTAACTTTTGTTTTTTTAATCCCACTGTGTTGCCCTGGCTGGAACTTGCTATATAAACCAGGCTGGCCTTAAACTCACAGAGATCCTCCTGTCTCTGTCCTTGATCCTGACCCTGACCCCGACCCCGACCCCAACCCTGTCCCAAGTGTTAGGGACAGTCAGCTTTAGCTGTCAATTTGACACAACCCAGAATCAATCACCTGAAGAGATTCTCAGTGAGGGACGGTCTACATTGGGTTGGCCTGTGAGAAAATTATAAACAAATCAGTGGGAGATTGTCCTCATTAAGCTCACTGATGCGGGAAGACCAGGTTACTGTGAGCGACACCATCCCCTAGACAGGAGGTCCTGAGCGGCATAAGGATGGAGAGATGATGGAGTCAAGCACAGGCAAGCAGGAACGTGCATTTGTTTCTCGCTGCTCTTGACTATGGATGTGATGTGACCAGCTGTTTGAAGTTCCCGCCTTGACTCCTCCCCAACTGGAGCTCACACTGATCCTCACCCCAAACCCCAGCGGCCTCCTCTCTCTCCCGTAGGTTGATTTTTGTTAGGATATTTTCCCCAATAACAGAAATGAAACCAGGACAGAAAGGGAGAGTCATTTGTCACACACCCGCTGCATGCCAGACACTTGAAGAACACTCTGCCTTCATCCACCCCATTATCACAGCTGAGGACAAGAGCCTGAGAGGGGTTAAGTGGCATGACCTGTCAGAGACCAAGCAGGGCGGGCAATGTCAGGAAGGAACCCTGATCCCAAGCCCTCCAAGGTGTGTGTGAAAGGTCCATGCCTTCCCCGTGTAAGCTAGGCACTCCAACCCTGAGCCTCGGCGTCCTCTGATGTACGTTAAGTTTACCTCCAAAGGACTTGTTTCTATTTATTCAGCCAAATCCTACCCACCCACCTACCCCACCCTGCTTCAGTTCACACCAGGAGCAAAAAGGCGGTGGCAGGGGCAGGGCAGGGGCAAAGGGAGGGACAAAGCTTCAGAGCACCTGAAGTCAGAGCCACAAGGACCATCAGTGCACCAGTAACAATAAAAACTTTTAGGGACCGATGAGAAGGGGTTGCCTCCTCAAGAACTTATATGGGGAGGGCAGAGAAAGGTGACATCACCCCTCCTCTATATCCTCTCCTCTTTCCTCCAGAGAAGAACCTCCCCACAATGCCCAAGACAGAGTTGAAGTTCTCACACCTCCAAGACCCTCAAACCTACAACCTTGACAGTAGCCTCAATTCATCAGTGCATATATGCTGCCCAGGGATGACAAACCAGGAAAAGGAAAAACTCTATGGGGACACTGGCTGAATCCTCCTCACCAGTCTCATTCCAAGTCTCCCGCTCATTGCCTTCACTCTGGGTCAAAGGTGACCCTGGATCACCTCAGCCAGTCTAATTCCTATTCTCCTGCCAGCACCCACACCAGGGGCGCCTCTGGGTTTGGGCTGCCATGTCCAGTTTAGGAGTTAGGATCCCATGCTGATTCTAGCTCTCATCCCCCCTATTCCTAAGTAGCATACCAAAAACATGGAAGCCCCTCTTACTCTTACTTTTAGGTCCCAAGAGCGCCTGTCTCCTTCTCTATACCCACATGACAGTTTCTCAACTGACATCAGTCCCTGGCGCTCCCAGCTCTCCCTCAGACAGTTCCAGGAGCTCTGAGTAATAGTCCCAGCTTTCTCTCCCTCCCTCTCTCTCTCTCTCTCTCTCTCTCTCTCTCTCTCTCTCTCTCTCTCACCCCTGTCTTCCATACCTTGACTTCCATACCTTCCTCAACCATTTCCCTTTTTCCCTATCAGTACTCAAACACAACTGGGCTTCCCACCTTCTCTTCCGTCAACAGCATGGCTGGGGCGGGAACTCCATGACATGACCCCTTACTTCTAGCTGAAAGCTAGGCAGCGATGCCAAACTTTAGCAGATATAGGAGACCCTTCTTGTGATCTCCAGTGCAGTTTCTTTTACAGGCTGTTTGTTTGAAAAGACAGGGTCTCATATGCACTAGCTGGCTTTGAACTTGCTATGTAGCCAGGGATGTTTGTCAATATTTCTGATCCTTCTTTCTCTGCTTCTTGAATGCTGGAATTCCAGGTGAGCGCCCCCATGTATGGTTTATGCAGTGCTGGTGACCAAACCCACACAAGCTTTCACACAAGGTAGGCAAGGCGAGCCAGTGAGCGCTCGGTCAACTGAGCTACATGCCAGCCCCTTCGCTGTAATTTCTATGGTCACAGGTTTAGGAATCTTGCCATTCTGAATTCTGAGCAGGACCCTCTTTGGGGACAGGGAGGTGATTAAGCCCTTACCTTCCTGGTCGCTCTCTCTGTCATCTAGCCCTGCCTAATTGTAGGAATTACTTTCAAACCTTTATTAGGAAAGGGGTACCTGGGGTAACAGCAGCGAGGTGGGAGGAAGATGACAGGCCAAGGCCTTCAGGGAGCAGCTGGAGAAATGGTAAATGCAACTTAAGAGGCAGGAATGAGTCTGGAGAGTGGGGAAGGTGATTGGCAGGGACTCCAGCACACACAGGCCGTCTAAGACCACTGCTCTTGTGCCTCCTAACATGGACACTCCTGTGCCTAGAGAGCATGCAAGTTGCTCAGGAGAAGCCAGGTAGCCGGCCGGGTCACACACTAACCCTAGCATGTTCTCTAGGTCACACACTAACCCCAGCAGGTTCTCCACTCTATCCAGCGCCCACTTCGAGCATGGTATGCTCCCAGTGAATGTGAATGAGTGAGAGAATGATGGGGGGATGGCCTGATGGATGGTTGGCTAATAAGTGGGTAAAGGGGACACTTGAAACCTCTAAGTGCTGCACAGCGCTCTACAAGATAACTAGGCAAACGGCTATCTCTAAAGCTGCACAATCGCAGAAAAACCAAGACTGCACGGATTCAGGAAGCATCACATTGATACACAGAGGCCCCCAGATACCTCCTGCCCTCCCCCAGGTCTGTAGCATCGTAAGGGCCCCTCTGAAATGCCCGACCTCCTCCAGTTATCCTCTGAGCCTGCGGAGCTTTCTCTCGATACCTCTGCCCAGCAGCAACCCCTTTTCCCCAGCCTGCATGCTTCCCTGCATGCTTCCCTGTCTGGGTAGAATCTTGAACTCAGAGTCCCTAGAAACCATACCAGAGGAGCTGGAGAACTTGTGAGGAAAAGCTGGCTTTCTTCCTAATTTCTAGGAGCCATCCCTCAGTAAAGGCAGTTTCTGAAAAAGTTGACTGTTCCCTTCTTAACCTTCCCCCCATTGCCTCTCCAAACTACCTAGGTCTTCCCTGCCTCCCCTCCTCCATGCCCCAGTTCCCAGGGTTCCCAGGGTTTCCCAGC